GATGAAATTTTGTATAGTTTTGTGATCAATGCGAGGGCTTTGGTGTATAATATAAGAGGGAGGTGGGTAGATATAGTGACGTGGCGTGATGGGTATAGTGCCACGTATGCTTAAGCGTGACGGTAAATGATGTTTTTGAAAGGATATGGATTGATGAGAAAATGGAATAACACATTTAATTTTTGTTAGAAGAAAAATAAAATGTGAAAGGAAAGTCTCAACTTACATCAAGAAATCTTGAGCTCTCAAGCAATCTTTAAAATTACATTTTTTAAAGATAATGAAATATATTTTTATAGTTTGTTAATAAACTTATTGATTGACCCACGAGCAACAATTTACAAAAATAAAGCATCTTGGAACATTCTGCCTCGATCGCTAACGTTTTCTCTGTTTTGACAGCTGAAACTCTCGCGATGCGATCTGCAGCTTGAGAAAGCTGTCTTCAACTCTGATTCACAATCATTGATCCGTGCAATCAACCTTGGTGAATTGATCTCAGAGATCCATGGAATTCTAGAGGACATAAGGATTTCTCAAAAACTTTTCAATCGATCCTGTTTCGATACATCCCTAGATCGGAAAATATGACCGCCGATGGATTAGCCAAAAAAGATTTCACTATTGTAATGGACTAAGTTTTTAGTAATGAAAATGACAAAAAGAAAAAAAAAAGCATTGTTACTACTATTTATCAAGAGATTCGAAAGATAAAGTTATATATATATAAGAAGAACAAACATATGTTATTATTGATAATTACCCTAATTTTGTAGAAAAACATTCCTTTTTAATTAATAAGTCTATACTCTACTTCGACCCAAAAAAAAAATAATAGTCTACTTAAAATCTTAAGAACAATTCTTGTTTGCTATAAAGTATTAAATAATTGATTTAAAACTAATCTCGTATCAAATTACCCACCCCACTAGCTTCACAATCTTGAATGAAGTCATAGATCGGGAAAAGTTTAATCCCATTGTCAATTTTATCCTATTTCTTATCCAAATTTCTTTTTCTTGTTTATTAATTATATGATTTTCCTATTATACACTTGGCTTCAAAAGCATATATAATTGCATCTTTCACTTATAAAGTGATGTCAATTTTTTCTTAGTTTTGAGGATCGTGTTAGGTGAGGAGGATAAAAACAAACACATTCTTAAAGAGTTAAGCCTATTTTTCTACTGTATTTTTGTTTTTCATTTATATATAAACTTTAAAAAAGTCTATTTGCTATACAATAATCATCGTAAAATTAAAAATACCTTATATAAATTTGGATTTTATGTTTGTTCGTTGTACATAAATCCATACAAAGCAAATCCTAATCTCAGGTACTTTATTGTTTATAACTAAAAATAAAACTGCAAAAACTTGAATGTATCAGAAGGTAGAGTCCTTACTCGCAATATAGTATATATCCTGAATTATATTTTGGGCCGTTACAAATATTTAAAGCCCAACATATAGAAGATGAGCTTATTTCTTTGGTCCAACACTAATATTGATTTTTCTTTTGTAAAACTATATATAATTAAAAGATAATTCTGAATTTAACTATATATTAATAATCCAAATCGAATTAATTTGTGGCTTTTTGACTTCGAAAATCGAAGAAACCGCCAACGAAGAAGACGAGCACAAAGATCTCCTTATCGCCTTCTCCGTCGCCGATCTTCCATTTTTTTGTTACGAATTTCTTCGATTAGAGATCTCCACGAAGCTCCTCTTTGGGAGTTTTTTCTATAATCGCCGGTGGTGGTGATGGCTCCTCCGAACGATCCAAAAAATGGCGGAGGTTTCTTCGCCTCTATTGCTTCTTCAATCACCAATTTCGGATCAGCCATGACGAAATCAGTTAACGGGTAATGAAATCGAAAACCCCCCACAACTTTTCTTCGTTTGAATTTGAATTTTATGTGGGTTCTGTGTTCGTTGTTGAATTTCTGGGTTTTGGTTGGTTAGGGATTCCAAGTCCTGTGCTAGAAAATTTGGGGGTTTTGCTAAATGTTAGAGCTTGTGTGTATGTTGTTTTAAGAAGAACTAAGTTTTTGTTTGATTTCTGCAGTTTGATGGGTTATGAAGGTCTTGAAGTCATTAATCCAGAAGGAAGTACAGAAGATGCAGAGGAGGAAGCAGGAAGAGGAAGATGGAAACAAGAGGTATATTATATACTCATAAGGAGTGGTAGTAAATCGTGAACCTTTGATCAATCCTTCTTGAGTTTCTATGTTTGTTCTGGTTTCTCAGGACCGTGATGGATATTGGAAGATGATGCAAAAGTACATTGGTTCCGATGTTACATCTATGGTGACTCTTCCTGTGATTATCTTTGAACCCATGACAATGCTACAGAAAATGGCTGAGGTTTGTTTTCTTTTAGATTCTATGGAAAGTTCTTGAAGCTGAATATGTATTGTTAACCATTCGTTTGTTTATCACAGTTGATGGAATACTCGCATCTGCTGGATATGGCTGACAAAACCGAAGATCCTAACATGCGTATGGTATATGCATGTAAGTCCGTTTCCTTCTTTGTGATCAGTATCTCTTCAAGTGTTTTTTTCATGGTGTGGCTTATTTGAATTTATCTTTTTAACAGCATCATGGGCTATATCTGTGTATTATGCTTACCAGCGTACTTGGAAGCCGTTCAATCCAATCCTCGGTGAGACTTATGAGATGACTAATCATAATGGGATTAATTTTATAGCTGAACAGGCGAGTCGTTTCTTTGGAACTCATATTCCACTTTGGCTTGGAAATAATCATACGAGTTCTTTGTTGATGTATCAATATTTTGTTCCTCAGGTCTGCCATCATCCACCAATGAGTGCTGGTCACGCAGAAAACGAGCATTTCGCTTACGATTGCACTTCAAAACTGAAAACAAAGTTCTTAGGCAATTCAGTTGAAGTTTACCCAGTAGGAAGGTAATTTCTCCTAACTATGAACATGATTGAAAATTCATAGATTTAGATTCAGAACTGCCATGCATTAAATCTGTATGCAGGACACGAGTGACGCTTAAAAGAGATGGTGTGGTTCTTGATCTTGTACCTCCTCTGACTAAGGTTCATAACCTAATCTTCGGACGAACATGGGTCGATTCGCCAGGAGAGATGATCATGACGAACCTAACCACTGGTGACAAAGTTGTGCTCTACTTTCAACCATGTGGCTGGTTTGGGTAAGTTCTTTCTTCGTCAAACTTATAAAACTTCTAAACAAAACTGATCACTACAATCTCATCTGCATACCTTCTTCGTTTAGAGCTGAAATGTGGACGTAATGGACAGATCTGGTCGTTATGAAGTGGACGGTTACGTGTATAATTCAGCTGAAGAGCCCAAGATACTAATAACCGGCAAATGGAATGAGTCCTTGAGTTATCAGCCATGTGACTCGGAAGGCGAACCTATCACAGGGACCGAACTGAAGGAGGTTTTGTCAATTTCTCTCGCTACTAACCAAACTCAAGCAAATCTGTATATTATCTTTAGTTACCTTCTGATTTCTGTTACTTTCCCACAGGTATGGAAGGTCGCTGAGGCTCCAAAGAACGATAAATACCAATACACACACTTTGCTCACAAGATAAATAACTTTGAAACTGCCCCTAAAAAGCTATTGTCATCTGATTCACGTCTACGTCCTGATAGATACGCGCTCGAGATGGGCGATATGTCCAAATCTGGATACGAAAAGAGCAGGTAAATCATAGTCTCTTGGTCATCTTCGGTTCACCATTTCTGCAAAGACTAATATAACCCGGGTTTTTGTTTCTCAGCTT